CTTTCAGAAAAAAAATATCATACTCAGGTGTGAGTTCAATCTGGTCCAATTTGGTTTGAAGCATATTCAGTATCCAATATTATAAAAGAGAAAAGATTTAAAAAAGGGATTGGTTCAAATAGTAAATAATTTGATATCGTTTAAACAAGACTCGAGTTCGAGACATTGTGTATAGAGGAAATCCTTGCTAGGAGGCACTCACCAAAGTCAGGTGTGCGCCACAGGTCAGTCGGGATTATCAATACAAAGCCCTGAGGAACTGAGAGGGCAACCAAAAAAGGAAAATCGATTTATTTAAGGTAAACTACACGTTTAGTACTTAAACTATTATTTTTGTTCTGTTTTGGTACCCAAACTTTTTTTTTCAAAATCATACCTAATGTTTAGTTTAGGTTTCAGTTTGATACCCAGTCGTTAAAAGATTAACAAAACTACTGACGTTGCATTTTTATTTATTCAATCATGACGTGTCATTACCTTATGGTGACACATCAACATTATCATTAAGTTTTTAACGGCGGAATACCAAATTGAAGCCTAAACTAAACGTTAGGTATGATTTTTTTAAATAAAATTCAGATACTAAAACAAAACAAAAATAATAGTTTAAGTATTAAACGTGCGGTTATCCTTATTTATATTTGTGTAAAAGTACATAAACAATTCAATTATTAAATTTATCAATTTATACTCATTTAAATACATGTAAATCGAATCAATTCAAACTTATCAAATGGCCTTGGCGGTAAATGAGAATGTTGTTCTCTCTAAACAAGAACGGAGCTCCCTTAGAGCCCAAAGGGGCTCGTTCTCTGTAAAAATTTATATATTCGATAAATTTTGATATATTATTGTTTTGGTTTATGTAAAAATAAATATTCAAATTAAAAATATATAATAATTTATTAAATATTTAATCAAATAGGGACCGAACTAAAGATGGATAATCTCATGTTCTCAAATTCTTTGGTCTAATAACAATTTAGGTCATTGTAAGTTTAAATATTAGATAAATAAACATTATCTTTTAAATTTTGAGTTTAAATACCTAATAAATCGTTATATTTTTCTTAAAAATGATTCAACCCCTTCCAATATTTAATCCTGACTGTCCCTGTCTCTAAATGATTCAAATTCGAACAATTATATCTTAAATTAATTAAAAAATTAAATATATATTATCTTATTATCATTACAGTCTATTTAAAAAAAATTCGAACTATCCAAAAGAGAAGCTTTCATGTTGAAATAAATAAAAGTGTAAATAAATCACCAGTCTTTGCACTTGAATGAATTTGGAGATATAATACATTTCAACCAAATAAAACTTAAATAAAATAAAGGCAAATATACATTTTGATACTTGAATTTCACTTCAAAGTTTAATTGATACTTAAGTTTTTTTTTCAAAATTAGAAAATTACTTCGAGGGTGGGATTTTAATTAATTTAAATACAAATATGAACTTCCCCAAATAACAAATTATTAAATAAAAATTGGTTTAACAACTTCAAAAAGGGATATTTGTGAGAATAACTTTACATGTGGGAAGAGATGCCTTCAATGAATACCGTTGTTATGATCAAATACCGTCACTTCCGGTTCCCTCTCCGGCTTTAATTACGTCGGACCTCCTCCTATGCGTCCACGACACCGTCCGAAAGAGCGGATTTCATATCCTCGGACGGTTTCCAGTGCCGCTTTCGCTGGTTGATGAACCAGTTGTTGATTTGCTTACAGTCTAGTCCTGTTATCTCTGATAATTTCAACTTCTCTTCCTCCTGCAACACCACATATGCCATAGGCATGAAATTTGCATATATGTATGTATATATATATATATATATGGGACAAGATCCAATTACCGTGGGATATGGCCATTTATAATGGACGTTCCACCAATCTAGCAGTGTGAACCTGGCATCATTTGGCAGCTTACCCTTCTTTCTTTTCTTCAAGAATTCTTCCTTTAAACTTCTTAGATACTCACTGTATTGCGCATCAGCATTCCTTTGATCTCGTGGGTCGGCCGCCGTCCCGTGGATTCGCGGCCGCTTAACTCTTCCTCCGAAGTCCAACCAGCTTCATCTGAAGAGAAAAGCAAATGATATATATACATATATCTGAATAGTAAACATTCAATTATGAATTATCTCATTATTTAATAAACTAAAAAATTCGTAATATTTAATTTCAAATCAAATTTTAATTAATTAAAGTATAAAATTAAACAATTTAAGTACATTATATAACATTTTATGTATTTTTTTGTTGGTAGCATTTTCAGTAGGCTACTTTTTGTTGTCGTTGTAAAAAAAATGGTTCATGAAACAAAAACCGAAGTTAAAGCTCGAGTATATTTTAGTAGAATATCAATTATTAATTAAAAAAAACTCAAGCATGGTTAAAAATTGGTAGGTGGACAAAAAGAAACAGCAAAACAACTATAGATAGGACCAGTACAATGACTACATTCAGTGTAACTGCTTTCAAGGTAAATGCAGAGTTAAAAAAACTTTACCAGATAGATAATCCAAGGATTTTATCAATGTTCCTTTGCAGAGATCACTTAGCCTTGACTTGATGTTGGTCAAGAACATTGTAGCTTCATCGAACGGCTTAGACAGTTCCTCTTTGCATCTATAAAGAACTCACAATATGATTCCTTGGAGCAAAGAAAAGAATATCTGAGATTCATGCAATATTTTCTCGAGAAACAAACAAAACTAAGAATCTTCGACAGTTTACAGTACCATGAATTCATCAAGTTCTGGATCAGCTCCTATCTCACTGCAGCCGCTTGTAGTATGGTTCTCTCGGCCGATTTCTTCAAGAAGTGAAGCCACCTCAGGTGGAGCTCCAACCTGTGTATACATAATGAAAAATATGATAATAAATCATAGAAAAAACAACCCTAAAATTGAAAGAAAAAAGACTACCTTTTGGCATTCAATGTAAGCAGACACTAGGTCTGGATAACGATGATGATTGGCGATCTGGGTTTTGATCAGACCAGAGAAAACTGATACAGAAGCATCTGTATCAGTTTCTTGATGATCAAAGTGAAGTAGATGATGTTCAACTGGACTGAGAAAATCAGTGGTGACCGGATCATCAAGCTGTATAAGTCCTCCATAGTATTTTTTTAGGCAAAAAAATATCAAAATGGTTGAAAAAAGACGTGAGAAACTTATGAAGAAAACCCTAGAGCCGCCACGTGAGAAACCAAAGAAGAAGACCCAGAGAAGTTGCTTTCTTTCCAAAGAGGAGCCAAGAAAGACAGAGATATAGAGAATGTTGGGTGTGGATTGCTTTTGCACTTTGCACAGTTGTTCACACGCTTTGCAACAGTGAACACTTATCATTCATATCTGATATGGTGAAGGTTAATAGATATGATCTGATATTTTTTATAAAGCCTAAAGTATTTCTTGTATTTTTAATATGCAAAGAGACACAGTTCAGATGACATTTTGCAAGGTTTCATTGGTTGTCAGTAAGATTATATAATTATGGGACCTATAAGTAAGGGATTACTGTTCTCTTCTGTTGACTGAACTGTTTATTGTCTTACAATACTTATTGTACGTACCTTTTTTCCTAACTCAATAGATGATTGTTAATGGAAATAAGTGAGCTGTGTTAGATCTTTGGTGGTGCATCGATTTTGGTTTGGATAATGCTTTGTAAGAAAAAGGAGAAGAATAGTAATGGGAGAAAGAGTTGTGAGAGATAGAGAGAGGAAACCTCTTTCTCAATCCTACTGAGAGTCGTTTATAGTAATTTTATTTGTAAGCATAGGATCATTATAATTATAACTATATATAGATTAACGGTCTAAATATATTGATTTTCAGATTTTGGATTTCATTGTAGTAGATTATGTAGGTTTATCAAAGGTTTAATCTTATACATTATAGCTGGTTCAGTAATTATGATGCTCCTTATATTGAAGGATATGTATTCCTTGGATGCTTCAATAAAAGAAAGGGTTTTCCCCGAAGTCTCGATGAGCAGAGAACTAATAATTTCCGAAAATGATTTCCAAAGATACAGAGTGACATTATCATTTTGTTTTCTGGTACCTCGGCACATCTGGTGTCGTAGATGCAGATGTTGTCTGTTATCGATGTTTTTGGCTAATATTTTTCCCACAGTTCTACCGATGATTATGTGTTGGCTGACTCTGTAGCCAGTTTGTTAAGGTGCCCTTTCATGTTAAAAATTAAGAGAAATGTTAGCTTACCTATTGAAAATAGATTGTTTATCAACGTTAAACTGTAACACCCTACCTCGTTTCCAGATAATTAATAGATTTGAGAGTGTTATATTAAGTCATTGAAATTAACTAATAAAAATAAAATTAAATTTTTCGCTTTTGATCCACCATAATTTCATAAATATTTTATTTATATATTTGATTAATAATTTATTTTGTATTTTATAAATTTATTTTTTTTCTTAAAAAATTAGAAGTTCGTTATATTAAAATTCGTTTTCTTAATAAACAAATCATGTTCGGGACATGTGCTGGCTATGGCAAGGCATCTATCATCATTACCTCTCCAAGTAAATCAAGAGTGGATCAAAGATTTTTTTGCATATCTTGGTCCCCCACCTTTTGGGATTATAATTATTTGATCCTTTTCGACAAAAGCATCATATTTCTCATCATATCTGATCTTTAGTCCATATGATAAAAAGCACCCCAATTTGACTATTTGAGCCAAATGGCATCTTTTCCAATTTTGGGTTCTTTCTGATTACCTATATATGTTTTATTTATGGTAATAATGAGTTTAAGCATCATAAGAAAGATTGTTTTGTAACCAAACTCGTTTGTCTGATGGGATAAGCCACTAAATCCCCTACATAAGGTTAGAAGTTTGAATCCTAACATTATGAATAAAGAAAATTGAGTCGAAAAAAGCTTTTAAAGGTGAACGTAGAAAGCACATTGTCTTCTTGGTAGCAATGCAAACAAGATAACCATAAACAGCTAAATGCAAACACTGAAAGGTGAAAGATCATGAAATTTGCAGAGCCCCACAGCCAGCCATTACAAAGAAAATTGCAGTGACCGATTCTCGACATTTCAAAAGAATCATTGACAAAAAGGATCCAACATCACCGCAATGAGAATTTCTTCAAATGTGTATCCTTATCCTTCATTTCTTGAGGCCGTACATGGACCGCAAGTTATCGAGGATCTCTGCACACTGTATGGGAGTTGCCTCACTACAAAACACTTCATCCCATACCTTGAGAAGATCTGTTCAATGGCAAACTCAAGTCAGCATCCTGATTTACATCTCTCAACCTCATTCGAATAAAGACATTTTTTTCTAGGCTTAATTGCTCCAGAAACTATTAGCTAAATTCTAAATCGGTTTTGAACTATAAAACGTTCCAATGGAATTCTCAAACTATAGTTCTAATCAAGTCCTTTCAACAGCTTAGCCAACGAGTTCGACATTATATACAAGCTCTAAATTTTTCCTTTTTAGAACACATGGATTAAAAAAAACTTTGAACACACAGAATGACCTGATTGGAACGGATTCAGCTGGAACGTTCTGAAGTTTTTGGACTAATTTAGAATTTGGCCTATATAGTATTATAGTGTGGGAATATCCGATGCAATTAACCCTTTTCTTTAAACTTCATATTAAATAGGTAGTAGATCTATATTACTAAACATTCAAGAGTGTTTTATATGACTCATAAGAAGGGTATATGGTAAAACATTCAAATAAACATACCAGCTTTGTCGGTAGGCGAAAGAAACAATACAAGCATGTCAAATCTTGGAACCTTGGTTAAATTTTCTAGATACTTAATAGCCAAATCTATTTCTTCCCTGCCAATAGAATAAATAAACCAGTAGGCAATCAAGAATCTGGCAAACAGACATCGATATACGAGTCCCAGGCAGTAGGCACCATAAAAGAACTCTATTTACCTGAAAAAGGTGGCAACACATTTAACAATATCAACTAACATGGAAGCAGACATTGCGTTTTTAAAGATGTGTGGTAATGCAGTTGGAGATGTAACCTACAAATAGTAAATAAAAAAATTATATCAGTTGTAGCATGAATGAGGAGACTTGAAAGAGAAATAATAGCATTCACATAAAGATGGCTCATCATGTAAAACAGAACAAGAAAATACCAACACAAACAGACCTTCAGAAGATGAGCCTGTAGGGAAGAGTCACCAGATAGGGCTTTCCAGGAAACCTCAAATTGGTATGCAGTATTTGGGGGACTGACGTTTTTTGCAGCATCAGTCATGGCTCGACTAGCTGCTCGAGAAGCAAGCTCTTGCACCGAAGGCTTCAGCTCTTGCTTTCTAGTTTTGGTGTTTTTCTATGAAAGATCGAATGCGGCAAAGTTAACCCAATTTTAATTAAGAGGAAAAAAACAGATAACATGACACAATCTTTTAGTTATAAAAGTAGCAATGGCTAGATACAAGCAACAAAATTCGGCTTAAAAATGAATAGAACAATACACTGAACACAAAGACAGACCTTGCAGATTGATCTCAAATATTTTAAAGCAATGCAACTACAATTGCTCATTGCAGTACAGTACCGACTTCCCTATCTAAGCCAATAAAAAACCTAAACCAATTCTAAACTATATCAAGTAGTGAGATATCAAAGTGAGGATAATGTAGTTGTTTATAAACTAATATTTCCCTGCTTTAAAATTCAAATCCTATATGTAACTCGTAAAAGTAATTCAAGAAGTTTCTTAGAAAATATGAAACGAAATTTTATAAGAGACCACTTCAGAGGGAGGGAGTCTATAAGGATGTGCACTAGTGTCACCTAAGGCTTGGCAGCCAAAAATTAGAAATGAGACAAGAGGAAGATGCACCTTCATGGAATTGTTAAATTGTAACTACTTAAGGAAAACCCAAACCTTCTTAGACGAAAATAAAAGTGTGACCAATAGAAGTCTCGAGACAAATAATATATATATATAGTGTTACCTTAATGATCTCTGGACCAGCAATACCAGCATCTAGTTGAGTACCATCGGTTATGCTTCCAGCCCCAATATTTCTTTTCCCTATTTCCTCCAAAGTTACAGATGACTCTCAGGTTTCTTTTGCCGGTCACATTCGGAAACCTACCAAAAGATACCATGCTAAATGAAAAAAACATAAAGTACATTTTGAAAAACTTTAGGCTTCAAGACTAAATAAACTCAACATAAATTCATCTATTCATTTGAAAATAAACTAGAGTTGTATGTTGTTCCACATAGCAAAACCGGTCTATGAAGAAGATTGCAGAAACAATTCATTCTTTTCACTCTATCTTCAACAGATTCTCATTACTTCATCAGCATATAATATCTACTGGCAGCCATGAATATAGCTATCTCTACAAAGAAATGTTAGGCCTTAAACACAAGATTTAACATGGTTTACCAGATAAATGAGAAATCAATCTCAACTCTCTTTATCAATAATGAGCAAAGAGCATACAGTGTAGGAATTAGTGAAGCCCCAAACACATTTCATCCATAACATATAAATATCTTTGATTGAAAGAGAAGAAAAAGAAAACAACTGGAAAAGAGAAGTTCCAACATCCAGAACCTTAGTTTGATGCTCTTGAACTGCGGCAACTCCCTTCCTTTGAGTACTACCCAAGACAGGTTGCACCCCAAGCCCATTTTCTTGTGTATCTAACTTTCCTACATCCTGACCCCCTTGCATAGACCTTCTTATAACCCCTGATGCCTTCTGCAGAACCTCCTGGGATAGATGAAAATTACAATGAGAAAAATCAATTGATTGCTTAGAAATAATACAAAACAGAAGATCTTCTAATAATCCCTCCCACCAATTTTCTAAGAAAACTAAAAATCCAAAGAAAAAGAAGAAGAGGCCACATGCCTTCAGCTCAGTCTTATAGTAGAGAATACAATAACCTGGTTAACATTCATGATTCTAAACCAGTTACTAACCACAATTTTTCAAGATAATTTAGTTCACCGAACTTTTAGAAAGTTATAATTCAGACGGTATATAGAAGAAAATTGAACAACAAAAAATGCTTACTTTCTCGTATAATGCTTTAAACTCCGCATGCTGTTTCTTCATTTCTTGATTCTTAGGCTCTAACCTTAGGCCAAACTCAGCATCTGCAAACAACTACGTCCACCATATAAGATCCATCAAATTTAAATAGAGAATTCACTTAGGAGTTAAACCAAGAGAGAAATTGCACTCAACATACCTTCAACAGATTCTTTAAATTTACCAAGTTCTTTTCTAGCCGTTGCTCGACGCGAGTATGCTTTTATATAGCGATCATCGAGATTTAAGGCCTCTGTACAGTCATCCTCAGCCTCTTGAAATCTAAAGAGAAAATAGAAATAACAGTCACAGTTATATTAGTCAAGCAGTAAGTCAATCACAAATGTTTGGCCGTTCAAAGAGAACTATAAACCTATGGAAGGCTACCTACAAGTGAATGTAACATAAAAGAGTGTCAAACATACTTTCTAATCTTAAGATAGGCCATAGCCCTATTTGCATAAGCCACAGCTGTTGGAGAAAGGGCAATGCTTCTTGAGTAGCAATCGATAGCTTCTTTAAATTTCTTTTGCTTAAAATACTCATTTCCCTGCAAATTTCAAAATATTTTCACTCTAATCAACAGAAAATAAAGCTCGGATATGGTCAAAAGGAAAAAGTACAGAAACCGAACTTCTCACCAGTTCCTTTTCAGAATTAGCATCAGGCATGTTCTCTTCAGTGCCAAAACTAGTTGATAAACTGCTCCATTTATCATAATTCTGCAAATAATCATATTGCACCGAACTGGTAGTCGACAAAGAATCATCGAGGGACCTTTTTCCTGCCGGCCTTCCTTTCTCATTGGTACCCTATGAAAACGAGACTATGTAAGAGTCCATAAGATCAAAGGGTCGTATCCGAGGAAATGAAATGAATTATCACTACTTTCTATGTCCCTTCACGTTAGTGTCATACTTGAAAAAAAATATGAGGGTTGAAAAGTACCAATTGCTCTTTACCAGAAGCCTGAGATAGTTTTTTCTTGTCTTTGTCCCTAAGTGAAAGTTCCCAGTCCTGCAAGTCATTTAAAAAGCCCTGGAAATCCTGGAAACAAAACTCAGAGGAACAACCAAGAGTAGATAGAAAATAAATTAACTTCTAGTTGTTTGCAAAAGAAGAAGAAAACAAAGAGAACCCAGATGATAACTGTTAAGAAATAATACTTCAGTCATCCAAAGGTCAAACCTTCAAGCTTGAATAGAATCAACATTTCCATCTAATTAACTTAAATAAAACTCCAGCACAGCTTGATTTCCCAGATGAATAGAACAAATTAAAGCAAACAGGGGAAAAAGCATAGAAAATATCTTCAGGGAGCCAACAAGCAAGCAAAACTTGAACTTCAACGCTCAAAATACTGAAACTTTGAATGAAAAAGAAAACCCATTAAAAGGGGGAGGAAGGAGAACTGCAATACCATTGCTTGATCACGGCCGTGCTTGCTTGCCATTGAAGAGAATAGAGGAAAGGTTGTGTATGGTATATTCTGGAAGAGACGGGAATTCCTTTGCTTTTGTTAAATTTTCAGGGGTCAAAGTCCAGAGCCAAGAGTCGAGGCTTTGAAACTGTAAAGCTTCTCCTTTTATTTGTGGGCTCTTCGGCGGAGTGATTGGGCCTAAAATAAAACCCCATTAAAACAAGTCCATCTTCTATTGAGGATGTTTTTTACCTCAAAAATAAAATATTGGGAGTTAAAATACTCCAAAAAAAAGTAAGAGTCGTCTATAGTCACTTAATCTTTATTTTTTTAGAATATTTTCGTCCTCAATATTACACTTTAGGATAAAAAGGTCTATATTCGTGAGTTAATTAATAGTTTCAATCTATAGAGGATGTCTTTTACCTCAAAATAAATCATTGGGAGTTAAAATGTTTCGAAAAATAAGGGTTAAAATAAATCTTTTAATAAACATTGGAACTATTTTTGATATTATGAATAAAATTAAATTGAATCAAAGGACTGTCAATCGGATTTTTCATTGTATTTTAAAAATAAAAGAAAGAAAATGGAGAAAAAATTGTACCGGGGCCTAACCCGATACCAATTGGATCATGACCCGCTTTGAAAAACGGAGTTTCTTGAGCAAAGGGTAGAAGAGTAAAGCTTTCCTGCTACTCCTTTCTCTACCATCAAATAGTCAATTCTGCATTCTTCTTCTTCATTCCACCTAGGGATAGGCATGGGTCGGGAAATCTGACTCGACCCGAAAATTTTACATCCTTCACCTGATCTGATTTGATCAGAAAAATATATATCATTTATCCGATATGAATTCGACTCGACTTTTTGAGATAAAATACGAACCATATCCGATCCGATATGAAATAATAAAAATATTATTTTTATTTAATAAAAATAATAATTTAATTGAAAAAATAATATATAGATGAATATTATTGTAATTATCTTAAATATATAAGGTAAAATTATATTTTTAGGATCGAGTCACCCTAAACCTGAATTCAACCCTACCTGAACATCACCTTTAAAAAAATTCGACCCAACCCGATCCAAATATAATTTAAAAAAAAACTGCTCAATCTAGTCGGGTCAGGTCGAAACCATCCGGTTTGGATCCCATACCCATCCCTAATTCCACGGATCTATAACCTTAAATCATGATGAATGTAACTCATCCCTTCATCATCTTCACCACACATTTTTATTTTGTTAGTCTAACACTTCGTAATTCAAAGGAAACACTTATTTTAATCCTTTCTTTCTGATTCCTTTTTTCCCCTAATGCAGTTCATGGCTTCAAAGCAACCTGAAAATTGCTTACTCGGTTCTGAATCTGACTCTCAAAGGACTCTGTATGTTCTTTAATCCGATATCCAAATTAACCCAGATTTTTTTCCGTTGTTGGTGTTTGAAAATTTTCCCTTAATTTTTTCCCGGATTTTTTGTAGGTATCCATATGTGACTGGAACATCGGTTGTGGCTTTAAAGTATAAAGATGGGATTTTGATGGCTGCTGACATGGGAGGTCAGCTCTTACATGTTCACTAGCTATTGTTTTTCTTAAATTTTTGTTTGGTATTTTTCTCTGTGTTTGAATTAGTCATTTTATTGAAAAGTGGATTATGTTTAGGGGGTGTGAATGAACAAGGTTGTGTATGTGTTCGATTCGTTTAGCATTTGTGAATATTGTTTAACATGTTAGTTTAGCGATCACGAACATTCATTTATATATTCGTTAACATATTGTATGCAAACATGTTCGTGTTCATGAACATAAATGAACTGACAACACCTATGTTTATGAACATAAACGACCTTATAAATGAGCCAATAAACAAGCTTTCAAACGAGCTTGTTCATGAACATAATCGAACCGAATGCACCTCTATTCGTGTTCGTTTAGTTTATTAAATAAACATAAAAAATTTGTTCATACTCATTTATTTAGCTTAATAAATGAACATAAACGAACAGTTTACGAACAATTCATTGAACGCTCGTTCATTTACCCTTATTTATGCTCTTAGAGAAAACATGGATGTGAAAGGCTAATGGTTGTTACTTCTAACTCTTTGTAGTCATGTGTTTTTGGTATGTGTTAATTGTTCTTCAATTAATGCTGTTTTTCGATATTGTTATAGAATAGATAGTTCGGTTAGATGATCCGACTATGACCAGCTACTAAGTAGCTTAAACTCGAATGTTTGAAGATGAAGTCTATACTTTATATAGATTTGTTTGGTGTTTTTGTATGTGTTTGAATTAGGTTTTTATTCGGAAAGTGGATTAATGGATGAGATATGCTCTTCGAGAAAAATATGAGAATGAAAGATCAATGGTTCTGACCCTTTGTGGTGTGTTCTGGTAAAAAGATGCAGCAATTAGCTTTAAACAGCCTTGATCTGGAGTTTTTTCTTCGTTATGGGTTATCTAGTGTTCCTTTTTCTTTAACCTTTAGTTCTCTTTTTATAATGTTGTTATGGATATATACAAGTACAGTTAGATGAATGGACTATTGCTAAGTACCGAGTAGCATAAGAATCGGCAGTTAAGGTGATGCTTGAAGCTGAAGTCATTTTAATCCATAACGTAAAACTTATATGTTCGTTATCGGATCTTGTATGTAAAATAACCATTGATAAGATGTTTGTTTGATAGTATGCTCTCAATGATTGCTATATAATCTTTGAGAGAAATGGAGACGGGGTTAAAATGAACCTTCATACACTTTTCGGTTCAAGTCCTTATTCTTTGTTCGAACCTACCGTGACCCGTAAAACAAGCTGGTATGCACTCATGTGAGGCTTGGTGCAAATCGAACTGGTTTCGTATTTCACTATGTAATCGAATGCGGTATGCACTTGTTTCATGCCAGCTTCCTGTTAATCGACAGGTTCGTATGGATCCACCCTGAGGTACAAGAATGTGGAGCGAATGAAGCCTGTTGGCAAGCATTCTCTTCTGGGTGCTAGTGGGGAAATCAGTGATTTCCAAGAGATTTTGCGTTATCTCGACGATCTTATGTGAGAACTGAAATGAAAAATTTCTTCTTCTTCTTCTTCTAGTTGTTTTTACTGTTTAAATGTTGACTTAAAACTGTTGCTTTTGGATGTTTGATTATTGTAGCTTATATGACAATATGTGGGATGATGGCAACTCCTTGGGGCCTAAAGAGGTTCACAATTACTTGACTCGAGTCATGTATAACAGGCGTAACAAGTTCAATCCGTTATGGAACTCCCTTGTACTTGGTGGAGTTAAAAAAGGAGAAAAGTATCTCGGGACGGTAGGCTTGGAGTTATATCTGTCGTAAAGCGACTCGTGATTTTAAGTTCATAGCCGATCATTCTTGGTGTCAATTTTCCAGGTCAGTATGATTGGTGTCAACTTTGAGGACAATCATGTTGCAACTGGTTTCGGAAATCACCTTCACGGCCAATTCTTCGTCAAGAGTGGCATGAGAACTTGAGCTTCGAGGACGGTGTTAAATTACAGGAGAAATGCATGCGTGTTCTCCTCTATCGTGATAGATCGGCTATTAACAAGATTCAGGTTTGGTCCTCTCTTTTACCGTTTTGGCTCCATGTTTGAATAAAAACTTCGAATCCATGCTATTAGGTATCGATTTCTACAACTCCAGAAGGGTTCATGGCGTTCTGTGTTTTTTTTCCCATTAGTTACCAATCTATGCACATTGCGGTCTTTTACTCGACTACCCTAAACAAAACTGCACCCTGTTATTTGATATTAATCGTATTTGAAATCTAACGGTTGCAGATCGCTAAGATTACCGAAGAAGGCGTGACGATTTCCCGGCCTTATTCATTGAAGTCCTACTGGGAGTTCTCTGCTTTTGCGAATCCTGCTCAGGGTGCTGTAGGAACATGGTAGGTGTTGCCATCATTTCATCCTTTCTGAAAACCTTTTATGGGATAAAAAGAACATCAGTAACTCAACTAGGAGTTCGAAAAAGAAGACTTTGATGCATCTTTATGATTGAAACCGAACGGCGAGTTATGAACTCGTGATGCATCTCGTCGACGGTTGCGTAAATCGATCAAGTTAAAGCTTCATTATTTTCAATAGTGTGACAGTAGATGTTTTTCTTTTAAGCTCCATTTTTGCATGACCTTAAATTTGTTAACTTTGAGCAAGGCTAATTTACCATTTCCTCTTAACAGAACCCCATGATTTCTGATACATTTATGTGCATCAGATAAATTTTTATTTTTATAAGACCCCTTTTCTTTCAACTTAATAATAATAATAATAATAACACGAACTAAGCGTACTCAATAATTAAAGAGATGATTATTATTTCTAGAGATTTTAGGTTCAAGCACATTGTCTGAAGGAATATTTGAGTGTTTATTGTCAAATAGTTAAAAAAATATTCGAACATATATTATCTAATTATTTTAAATTAATTAATAATAATAATAATAATAAAATCATGAGATCTGATGAGATTGAAAGACGGATCTGACGGCTGAAAGCGACATCCCATCCCATTAACGGACAGTATCGCGCGAGATGCGCGGGTGCTCTGCCGGACCCCCTGCGTACTTGTCCTGCATCTTCTTTGTACCTATCAAAATTTAAACAGTAATTTAAATTATAATATTATGAATCGAATAAATTTAGTTAAAAATATTATTCTCACAATTAATGAATTTATATAGATTTGATTTAAATTAGTAGATTAATTGATCGAATATTAGTCAGATATAATTATGAATTGAGTTTTTGATTGAGTTTAAATTTGGCTCGATTTAATAAAATCGTATAAAGGTTAATTTTTATTCGATGAAATAGATATCTAATTGAAAAATATAAAAAATAATATTATAGTAATTATCTTTAAATATATATAAAGGAAGTTATATTATTATCTCATATTAGATCAAGATTAAAAAAAAGTGAAAGGGTATATGAGACCCTTATACTTTTAAAAGAAAATTAATGTGACACTCGAACTATTTTTATACTCAATTTAGAAAAAAGAACCTAATATGATATTTTAATCAATAGTTTTCATTGCCGACTGTTATAATACAATACTAACATGACACTTCAATGCGATGATATGAAAGTATACGATGTTGGTGATGTGACTGATGACATGATAGATGGAGTATATTGGTATTTCAAGGACCATATTGATTTTTATTATATATTTTTAATTTTTTAGTATTTTATTATATTTAATTTTTGAATAGTTTATATTTTAAATTTAAAATATTTTTATTTAAAAAAACATATAAATCCCTCAACTTAAAAAAATCAATTTAATCCTCAAACTCAATTAAAAAATAAAACAATTTAACTCATCAACCACATCACCTACTTGAATTGTCACGTTAACATTATAAACTACAATTAACATCGTTAAATGTCACGTCAATATGATAACGATTAACGATGAAAACCGTTGATCAAAGTCATTGAATTTTTTTCTAAACTTGAGTCAAATTAAATACAAAAATAATTTGAATACCAGATTAACTTTTTTCTTTAAGTACAAGTATAAAAACCCCATGTACACTTTTGCCCTAAAAATTTCCCGATAAATATTTATCCCTAACATCGAGTAAAATTATCATTCCTAATATCCCTAAAAAAAATTCCTGATAAATATTTATCCCTAATATCGAGTAAAATTATCATCCCTAATATCGCTTGTTAAACACAAAAGGATTAGGGTAAACCACCCAAATAATCACCCAACTTTTGAAGTGCGTTCAAATTAACCGTCCAACAAAAATTCCTTTTAATTAAGTCACCAAAAATCCTCTAAAATGATGCTTGTTATTTGTTAATCGATCATAAAATAATGACATAAATAATTGTAGCAAATAATTAATATATTTAAATCACAAAATTTGACAAATCAAAACTTATACGATTCAACATCTACAGGACATAAAGGTTCCTTTATTTATTTATTTATTTACTATAACATGTCAAACAGGGCCAGTTCCAGGTCCTCCTAGTGTTAGAACCACATCTCCTACATCACTTCTTAGCTTTGGATCTTTTGCAGTACCATTAGTCGCCGAATGCCGAGAGCCGTGACTGGATTCCGGCATAATACGCATCATTCGTGGCTGATAGGGCTTCAAAGGTTCAAAATTGGTTGAGTTTAGAAACGGTTGAGCGGCACCGGCCTGATGTGTTTTCAACAGACTTTGAGAGAGCATTGACCCTCTCGGGACGACACCCGACGACCCCTAATGTTTTGATCGAATGAAGAGATTGTAAGGAATAATTTAACACAGAGATAGTAGGACTTTCTACAATAAAGAACATAAGGCTTACAGGTGCAAATAAGACTCCTCTGAATATCTTCCCATTAGCAGTTGCTGTCACCAGCAGACCCGAGTCGAATGCTCCGTCGACTTTACCATGAACTTCAGCGCCAAGCTGAGGTAAAAAAGAAAACCCGGCAAAAGATTGAAACAAGTGGAAACATATAGAACATGAAAAGAATTCGATACCCCATAGAAATGCAAAATTTGTGGACCTTACCAGGTTGTTAATAGGCCCTGCTTCCACAGCCGAGCATTGCGTTCCACTTCTTTGTCTGCTAGTATGAACAGCGTGGAGATATCGTTCCGGTTTTTGAAGGTTTTGAAATTCTCTTGTATATTGCGAATCTTCTCGAGTTTTGTGGACCATATATCTGGTCTGATTATGGTTGTTCGAACCATTGTTAAGTTGACAATTGCTTTGAATAGGATGGAACTGCTTAAACAAGTTAAGGCCTTGGGGCGGAGCGGAATCTGGGGGCTTTAGTGCCAGGCCTTGTTCTTGATCAGAATGTGAAGGCGATGAATGCTGCGAGAGGGAAAGCGAATGCTCTTCCTGCTCGGAATCAACCTCCCATGCCTTTGTATTGGCTGTTCTTCTCCTCTTCGGGTTTGAATTATCTAAAAAGTAATGAAAAATCGAAATGATCACATTTGAATCATCAAGTTGGCGAGCTGTTTATTACAGCCCTGAGGTAAGAAAATTCGATTTCGGACCGACCTGAATTGAACCGAGAAGAATGCTTTGCTTCTTGATCTGGTTCATTATCTCCATGTTTTGCTACGTCAATATCAGTGAAACAGATTCCTTTCTGCTTCAAAAAAAAATTAACCACTGATTATTCCATAAGGTCATAACTAATATCGACTCACCGGAGCGTATTTCTTACCGAGTTACTAGGTGCTACTCTTAAGAATCTTCTCTTTTCTTGGTTCCAATGGCCTCCGAAAGTTTTGCACATCGAAATGTTATACCGGCCATTTGGATGCTGTGTACCGAGTTGTAAAACCAGCAATTCATTGATCGGACGTTCATCCTCCCCACATCTGTATATATCAAGCTCAACGAAATTACAAGTCGAACAGGGGAGATAAAGCTAAAACATAGTCAGAGGAACTTACCCTCCATAGATAGCAATATCGGATTCCGCAAGAACAGCGGTATGAGAAAATCGCCCTTGAGGCTGCTGGCCGCATATATCTAGCTGAGTCCAACAACAAGCATTCACGTCTAGGACCCAAACATCATTGTAATAGTGTTTATACCCAACGCCTCCAATGATGAAAACCTTGAAAATGCATTTATGAACATTAAATTCGAACAAAACTGACGATTAAAATGGAATTAGTCTCGTTATCGACGATAACGTAGTGCAAAATGTGCTACCTTTGCTCCGACGTTCACCGCAGCATGACCTGCTCTAACACCTGGTACCGAGCCTTGAACAGCCAACTGCAAAGAAAATCATGGGAATTATGATTCATAGGTTTTAATTTTTTTCAAATAATGAATTTGGTGAGACAATACCCTTGACCAAGTTGAAGCATCCATGTCGAAGATGTCGACATCTCCATGGTACCGATCTCCGCAGTCCCCACCATACACAACGAGCTTGTTTCCGATCGCGACAGCACTGTGACTGTCCCTAGGGACAGGGATATGACCTCTCACCTGAGGTGAGGTCCATGTCATAGTCCTAAGGTCCAAAACATGCAAATCATTCAAGTAATTCGCTCCTCCCTCGCCACTCCCTCCGAAAATCACCACCTTGTCTTCACCTATAAGTGTTGCAGTATGACTTTCACGAGGTGAAGGTGCGACACCGTTGCATTCGGCTTGTATCCACTCTTTCGACGTAAGGTCCAGTATGTGAAGATCATTCACCTTCTTGGAACCATTAGTACCCCCAAATACCATCATTTTTGTTCCTACCAGGACAACACTGTGACTGTCTCTAGGGCCAGGTCCCTGCCCTGTGGTTTCAAGTGTTCTCCAGACCATCATGTTGAGATTTAGCATGAGAACATCACTAAAATGTAGACCTCCGCAACACCCCTGCGACGGACAAAAGCAAGCCGATCGATGATATTCGACACATAAAAGGGAAAACAAGCTCTAGTTTCTCTCCTACTAACAGAATTAAGCATCAAAATACACCAAATTCAACAGCTGCGTGGCTCAATATATAGAAAAACAACATGAAAAGCTCAATACCAGTTGTCCTGTCAGAAATCATTGAACAAAATGAACCCAAGAAGCCAAAGACCTTGCTATACAAGGAATCCCTTAAATCAAACTTTTTCCAGGAAGCAACTAGACCTGGCCATACATGACTTAGAAGCAGAGACGAACACAGACTTTCATAGGCGGAAATAAATTATTAATAGAAAATACAATGAAAATACTTAAATTATATAAGAATTTGAAGCGAAGCATAACACCTTATAGTGTCACATGATCTTACTAATTACAGAAAGTGAAACCAGGACAAACTTCAGATAACATTCCAACAAGAAACATATGTAGTAAAGAACCAAAAACTATCAAGAAAGCTATATCAAGAAAGCTATATGTTCCCTTAACCAAAGATAACCATTTTGCATATAACAATACTTTAACATACCCCGAAAACATAAACAACCCCATTAGAATAGCAAGCAGAGTGCCCCCATCTCTCAGAAGGGCTAAAGCCCGAGACTTTAGGATAGAGCCACATTGCTTTCCTCTTTGCCATTTGAGCTCCAGAGGACTCCATTGTTGTCTGCAAGGTGTTTGCTTTTTTGTTTACCTTCTCTCTCTCTTTAAAGGGTCGTTTTTTATTTTACTTCAAAACAGTGCTGGACAATGATGAAACAACGGAGCAAACAGAGAGAAAGAGAGAGAGGACATGAACAGGTCAAGAGATATATCAACAATCAATGTCCATTGACGTGAAAAGATGGGCGCTTTCAAGTCTCTGTCACTGTGGCAACCAACAGACACGGTGAAAAGAAAGTATCTTTTTTTTCACGCTCGGTATCCTCTCCTATATACGATTAACTATACATAACCAAATTACGTTGATGAATAGGCATGCAAAGACTATGAACCAAGTGATGTAAAATCAAGAGACTGTGGATAGAGACTAGAGAGAGAGTGTGTGTGTAGGTGTGTGTTTATCTTTACCTTTGTTATTTAAAAGACTGAAAATGTTGGTGTGTGGGGTTCTTGGGGTTGTGGAGAATGATGGAGAAAAACCCAAATTTGTTCATTTGACAGTGATTGAATCAAGACCAAAGGTGTTCCATTTTTTTACTATTGTCCTTTCATTCATTGCTTTCCTTTGTTTATAGAAACTCTTACGTGCGGAAGTTTTAAAATGCCATTAAGTAAATATGTTATCGATTTTGTTATTATTTTTTTAATAAAATTAATAAAAATTATTTAAAATATTATTATTTATATTGATTTTGTTATAATCTTTTCTTTATTTTGTTGACATGATGTTGGGATTGGTGTAGATGAGAAGCTTAATCTCATCTTCGTCTCTATCCTTTTTTCTTCCCCAGAATCCAAGTTTCAAGGTGGGTTATTGATGTTTGATCTAGAAATGTCTATTCACAAAGGTGTTTTGGAGAGTGAAGTATGGAACTTCGTGCTGTGGAATTTCTTTTTTAGTTTTGGGAAATGGAGTGTTCAATATTTATGTTTCAATTACAACCAGAGATTTGTGTTTAAATACAGGAAAATTACATAAATTATCCATGATTATAGAATGTTATTTTATTGAGTTCATAATATTAAAAATCAAAAAAATGATCCTTCAATTTTAAGACGTTATTTTGTTAAATTCTAAACCATTAGAAGTTACAAAATAGTCACCCGATTATTCATATGTTCTGAATTTAATTTTTTTTAAAAAATTAATGGTGATAGTTTGATGTTAGTATGCTAAATAGAATATAATAAAATTTGATCTCTAAATTGTTTAAGTTGTATTTTGTGAATCGACTGTTGAAAACATTTTGATATTTCGATATAACAAATTAAGTTAAATGAATTTTAAGATTTTACAAATGATTTTCTAAGGTATATTCGAATTAATTAATCGGATATCAAATTATTACTCCAAGTCTTTCAAGATCAATTTTAATCCTTACTAAATGTGTAAAATTGTGATTTGTACTTAAACTATTTTTGAAACAATTTTCACAAAGTATTTTGAACCAAAATCAAGCCTTAAATCAATTTTTTAAATACATGCACCGATGCATCAATCCATGCATCGATGCACCATTGAAAAAATTAAACATCGAATGCATTTCATGCATCGATGCACAAGCAATGCACCGATGCACTCAGGCTATTTTCAAATATCGAATGCATTTTATGCATCGATGCACATTTGGTGCACCGATGCACTAAGTGTTCCAACGGTCAAAATATTTGAATTTTACACTGATGCACTGATGCACTATGGTCATGCATCGATACACCGACGCTCCCAACCAGTTTTATTAATTGTTTTCACACAATAACGGCTCTATTGAATCCACTAATCATTCCCAACGTTCAGAAGTGATTCAAGGTGTATTTAAACAAGCTTAGAAGCCATTAATCAACAACAAGAAACTTCAAGCAACTAGAATCAAGAGAGAATCAAAGATAAAGCATCAAACCTCAAGTTTAAGCATTTCAAGCCTATTTTTCATTCAATATTCATTTTGCTTTCAAGAACACTTATTGTGCTCAATTATATTTATTCTTGAGTGTTCTTTCTTTGTTCTAGAATTGTGCAAACATCTTACCTTGTGAGGTTTTTCTTGTAAGTTTGCGAAATTTGTAATCTTCTATTTGAGAAAGAGTGTTCTCAAGAATTGGGGTATAATTCTTGAGGGAGTTGTAAGGTTATCTCTTTGGCCTCAAAAGAAATAACAAATTAGTGAATTTGTTAGAAAATCCTTAGTGTGGATAGTTAATGTAGTGGACGTAGACTTTGTTGAGAAAGTAAAACCACTGTAAATCGTTTGTGCAATTACTTTCAATTTTCTGCAAAAGCTTCCACCAAAATTTTAATTGCCAATTCACCCCCTCTTGGCCTATTCCATCGATCGATTAACTCAACAATTGGTATAAGAGCCTCACTCATTTGAAGGTTTAATCGCCTCTTGAGTCGATTCGGGAAGAGTTACATCGATTATCAAGTCATCAATGGCCTCCTCTTCAAATTACGACTTCGATCTCGATTCGATGCCCGTCAACAAGCCTCCTTTATCAATGGAGCTAACTATGCCTATTGGAAAAATAGGATGATGTACTTCATTCAAGCAAGTGACATGAGAGCATGGAATGTCGTAGAAGAATGATACATCAAGCCTCTCACTCATCCAAGATTGTGGAGTGAATGAGAGACAAAAATGTTCCAGCTCAACTCCAAAGCCATCCATATCATATTTTGTGCTCTTGGACCAGATGAATACGAAAGAGTTTCATCTTGTACAACCGCCAAAGAAATATGGGACAAACTTCAAGTCAGGTCATGAAGGTACTGATGAGGTAAAGAAATCTAAAATTAGTTTTCTAAATCATAGCTATGAAAATTTCAGGATGAAACCAAATGAAGATATCAAAGCTATGACGGATAGATTTTCAACGATTGTTAATGGTCTTAAATCATATAGAGAGATCATTTCAAATAAAAAGCTTATGATGAAGTTAGTCTACTCCCTTCCAAAATCGTGGCAATCATCGAGTCTAAGGACCTAACGTCCTTAACTCTTGAAGAACTAATTGGTTCCCTTCTCACTCATGAAATGATGCTTGAAGATGAAATGGACCTCGATAAGATTGACGAGACACCAAAGGAGAAGGAGAAGAAGAAAAACATTGGAGTTACTCTCAAATCAACAAAAGATGAGAGTGATTCGAATGACGATGATGATGACGAGGAAATGACATTATTTTCCAAATGATTCAGAAAGTTGATGATGCCCAACCGAGGAAGAAAATTCAAACGTCATGAAGGCTTCAAAACTGAATCGAAGGAGAAAGACCCGATCATTTGCTATGAATGCAAAAAGCCAGGGTATATCAAATATGATTGCCCATAATTGAAGAAAAAATGTCAATCCAAAAAGAAACACAAGGCTCATGTAGCTATATGGAGCGATGAGGAAGGTTCCGATGAAGAGGAACAAGAATTTGTAAACTTGTGCTTGATGACTATTGGAGAAGATTCTAAGGTAACCTCTAACTCATTCGATTTGGATGAATTATCTTATGATGAGTTATTAGAGGATTATAATGGGCTGACTTCGGATTATAAGACTCTATTTTCAAAATACAAAAATGATATTTCAAAATTGAAAAATGAAAATAGTCTTACATCCAAGACCAATAATGAGATTGAAAGTAAGATCAAATAATTACAAATCAAAAGTAATGATTTTGAAAATAAAAATACTGATTTGCATAACTTACTTTCAAAAGTTCATGATGATCATCAAAAGAAGATTGATGATCTTAAAACTTCTTTTAATAAGATTGGAACAAAAAGTTTTGAAAAATGTGAGAATTCAAAATCCAACTTTGTTAAGAAAAGTTTTAGAAGCTACAATCATAGAAGTCCTCAACGAACCTTGAATGGTAAAATTGTTAGGAGTATATGGGTTCCTAAAGAATTCATTACTTCTAAAGATAAGGATGTCCTTCATAAATGGATACCAAAGGGGACAAGGATTTTAGAAACTAATGAATATGGACCCAAAAGAATTTGGGCACCAAAAAAATTAGAAATTAATCTATGTTTGTAAGAAAAGGAGCATTGCTACAAGGCACGGGAAACAAATCCAAATTCATGGTACCTTGATAGTGGATGCTCGAGACACATGACCGGAGACAAAAGCCGGTTCATAGAGCTTAACGCCAAAAATGGAGGAGAAGTGACTTTTGGTGATAATTCAAAAGGTCACATTGAAGGTATTGGTACTATAGGTAATACCTCTTCCATACAAATTAAAAATGTGTTATATGTTAATGGATTAAAGCATAATCTATTGAGTATTAGTCAATTATGCAATAAGGGATTCAATGTCATGTTTGAAATTAATGGTTGTAAAGTCATTGACATTGCATCTAATCGGATTATGCTTGTTGGTCATAGAATAGGAAACATTTACATGGTGCATTTAGATTCTATTAATGTGACTAATTTATGCCTAGGTTCTAAGGATGAGCATGATAGTTGATTATGGCATAGGAGACTAGGACATGCTAGTATGAGTGTTTTGCAACGGTTAATTCAAGGAGACTTAGTAAGAGGGTTGCCTAAGCTTAAATTTGATAATGATAAAATCCGTGATGCTTGTGCTAAAGGAAAACAAAAGCGAATTTCTTTTAAATCCATTAATGATGTATCAACTAGTAGAGTATTACAATTGATCCATATAGATCTTTTTGGGCCAACTAAGACTACTAGCTTGGGTGGAAAACAATATGCATTTGTCTTGGTAGATGACTATTCTAGATATACTTGGGTTCTATTCTTAAGTACCAAAGATGAAACATTAGAAAATTTCATCACATTTTCAAAAGTAATCCAAAACGAAAAAGGTTACTCTATCACTAGTGTTAGAAGTGATTATGGCACTGAATTTGAAAATCTTGGATTTAACGAGTTTTGTAATTCTAATGGTATTAGCCATAATTTTTTAGCACCTAGAACCCCTCAACAAAATGGAGTTGTTGAGAGAAAAAATTGAACTTTAGAAGAAATGGCTAGAACCATGCTTTGTGAAAATAATTTGCCAAAATATTTTTGGGCGGAAGCCACAAATACCGCTTGTTATATTATTAATCGAGTAATGATTAGCCATTTTT